AAAAATTCAGAGTCCTATAAAAACTGTTTCTCGAAAAAAAAAATCCTATAAAAACTGTTTCTTGAAAAAAGAAAAGAAAAGGAAAAAAAAGTCTTATAAAAACTGTTTCTCGAAAAAAAAAAGAAACGAAAAGTAAAGAAAGAGTCCCATAAAAACTGCCACTGAAATGATATCTTAGCCCACTTGAAGAAATAGCGGATTAGATTCGGTGAAATAGCATGCATAGAAACCAACGTCGGCCCAAATAAATGTAGCCCATCATTCAGATGTACCTGGATTTCGTTCCCCATAAGACCAGAGTTCATGTATATTTGTGTGTTGCTAAATCTATTATTTGGGGAAAAAAACGGAGGACAGTATTGATCAAATTGTGTAAAAATTACATAATTTGTATTCAACATTACCTTTAAAAGAAAATATTTTTGCACTGTCTCTCTGATATGTGAAAATCAATTAAACTACATGTCAATTGCCCATCTTCACCCCTTAACCAAATCTTTGCGATGGGAATCGATTTAGAACCCCACCATTAATTTGCAATAATTCTGAAGCAAAGAAGCCAGTTACTTTGCTTGCTTCTTTGTCAAAATGCAATGAAGGTCCAAGCAGCAGATCCATCCTCGACATAAATCTCCATCCCGAATCCTGAGTGCTTTAGCGGAGCTGAGGCCATTTTGTATGAATCTCTAATTTTTTGCTTTTAATTATAAATCGAGGATTTTACATTCTTTGATTTTTTTTTAATTAAAATATGAATGCTTTTGTTGTTACTATGAGTTTGTAATCTACTTAATCAGTTTTCTTTCGTACCTGTCATTCATCCTTTCATCTAAATAGAAGTACTCAATTTTTTATAATGTTCTTTATTACAGCAACTTCTTTCTATTTTTTTTATTGTTATTTTGTTCCTTCAATCTAACTAACCTGACTTCCTTTAAAAGCACGGATGAAACCCTTAAAAGAAAGCCGAATGAATATGAAAAATTTTATAATAGATAAGAGGAAATTAGTGATATGTTCGAGTAGTTATTTCATGAATTTATTTCGAAGAAAGAGAAAATTAAAAAAAAAATTAAGCGAATATGAAAATCTTTTTATTATTTTTGGTGAATCCGGATGTAATTTAATATATCTATTCTCTCCTCAAAGTGAATCCATGAAGTAACTATTGTATATATCACTGATTACTCCTTGTGTATTATAAAATTTTTCGAATGAATATTGCACACATACGGAAGAAAATGAATTTAAAATAAATTATCTTTTGAATTTTAGTGGCACTTCCTATAATTTTGGAAATGAATATTATGTAATCTATATTAATCTATAAATAATAAAGACTTTATTTGAATAGCCTTGGTCAATATATTTGCAGAGAGTAAGTGATTCATTTAAAACAAGAAAGTAGTAATAAATTTAAAATAAATTGCATTTTGAATTCAATTATTTGAGCCTATAATTTAGCAAACTAGCCTTTAGCACGTCATTAATTTGGTACAATGCAAACTTTCTATGCTTTAAGAAAACCAACTCCATATCGTGTAAACCTACTGCTTGGAATGAACATTTATCGGAAACCTTTGGTACTTAATTCGGTGGTAGAAGGTGAAAATTGTTTTGGACTATGGGCCACAAGCGCCGTCCTCTGCCACCTCGGCCCACCGCCATTCATGCATGTAATAGTGATGTTTCTGGTTTTTTCAAATGTTTTCCTGCGGAAAACCCAAAAACTTTAATGCGACTGTGCTCTAGAGTAGTGACAAATAATTGCTAATTGACTATATAAATGGTTTCGTAAAGACTTTCTCCACTCATTTCTTAATTCGCTTAAACGAGGACAATCAATGGATAATTCTCTCCTGTTGTTGGTACTCTAAGGTTCAATCAGTTTTAAGCACAAAAAACGACAGCAGACCAACTACAAATCTCGTGGCCTGCAGGCATATATAAAAATCATTTGAATTTAATTTCCAAAACTAATCCAAAAATATCCAGTTACTTATATATATAAACAGCAATATTTTCTCTAACTTCTATAGTTTATTTTTTCTTTTATTTTATTTATTTTTAGAAACGACTCATCCGTTATCTTGATAGGGAATAACACGGAGTAATGACGAAAAAAAGAAGAAGAAGCAAATTACATTTTCTTGAATGGATCATTTCGTTTGTTCGTTTCCAGTGTTGCAGACAGTTTTCTTGAAGAAATCTCCCAAAAAATGCATTTCTATACTGTGACTTTATCTTATAGTTAATACTAAATTGTCCCATCAGGAAGTTGACCCAAGAAAAAACAAGGAATAGCTAATAATTTACTCAAACAAAAGCCTGGAAATTCTGTCCACGTCCTTAAATCACCAGTCTGTCAGAAAGATGACTCGCATTTCAAGGCTGATAATGATGGCCGTTCCATCAATTTATAATGATGCACTTTATTTAAAATAAAACATAAGCACTTGAAGATTAATTAAGGTATGGAGTACTTTCCTAAATTGATAAATCATATTTTTTATTTCGAAAATACCCCTAGACTTAGACTATACAAGTATATAATTTTATTTTTTTTCAAAAAAAAATCTTAATTTTTTAAAATTTTTGTGATTTAATAATTTTAAAACTTCTTATTTCTTAAAATATTTTCAGTAATTTTAAAAATATTTTCTATTATATATTTATATAGTTTAAGGACAGTTTGAGATAAAAAAATAATTTTATCAATTTAGATAAAAAAAAACTTGACTAAATGATATATTAAAAAATTAAATATTATATAAAAACATAACAGAAACAAGTAGAAATGTAGATACATATTAAAGTCTTTTTTTTTTTTTCAGACTTGAGCATTTCAATAAAAATATTTAGTTATGTGACCAACATATGAGTTTTTTTATGTTATTTTTTACTCCTTTAGAGAAAAAGTGTTTTTTGACAACCTGTACTAAAATTAAAAAAAAAAAAAAAAAAAAAGAAGAAGATCATTTGGTCTAAAGGTAACCCTAAACGTTAAACTTGAATCCTAGATCCTAAATCTTAAAACTCTAGAATATATTTTTTTTATTCATATCTATACCTTTAATATCTGCCTCACATGTATTTAAAAAAATTCTTTAAAATAAAAGGTTTTGTAAAAACTATAATTCTAATAATATCATGATAAAATTTAACGTAGTTTTGAATAACATTTGTGTTCACATTTATACGTTATGTATTAATGTTATATATAAATGAGTTTATTCAAATTTATTTGTTTCTTTTTCAGTTTTTTTTTTTTAAATTAATTTTTAACATTTTTATAGACTTTTATTGATATAGATACGACGCACATGCAAAATATTAGTATGAGAGAAAAGAGGTTCCACGCCAAAATGAAGCATCCTATATAAGTTGCAAGCTCTTGGAGGGCCCTGAAAACGTTCATGTGTTTTATTAAAATGTTTAAAGTTACAAAATATTTTCTGCAAAATAAATGCGTCCATAAAAGTTTCTTATGCTACTCAGTACCGTATTTATGGACATGACATAAATATGTAATTATATTTCAATAAAAAAACTTTTTCGTATTTTCTTAACCCAAGATTTTTTTCTTTTTTTTTTAAACAAAACTGTTTCAACCTAAACAAAGAATAATTAATTGAAGCAAATTAGGAAAAACTGGTTATTTGCATATATATTTCTTCGCTGGTAAAAAGTTTTTTTCTTTGGAATTTTGAGAGTTTTTAAGTTGGTTTTATAGCGGCATATAAATTTGTTTTATTTTTTTTCCATAAAAAATTCTTTTGTTTTTCAGTTGGTTTTTAACGTAGAGATAAAAGTTTTTGTCCAGTTCAATTTAACGGAATGGTTGTCTCTGGGCTTCACGGGTTTTGAACAATTCTTGTGGACATGGTCAAACAGATTTACCTCCCCAAGTACTTCCAACCTTAGAATTGCCCGTCCGTCATTGGAGAACGAAACATCAACGACAATAATTATAAATTCGTAATAATAACACAACAATAATTATTTAAGAACTGGGAGGGGATTTTGCGTGGAAGTGGATGACACTAACCAGAAAAGTTCCAAATAGAGAAAGAAAAAGGGAAAAGATTTAATTCTAAAAGATTGATTTTCCTAAGAACCCTGGGTGTGTGTTCATATATATGCGGTTTAGTATTGGCATTTAAAGCGAAAGCACACTTGAAAAGTTAAGGCGTTTGGTCTCACCAGACACGAGCATCTTTCCAGAAAATTTAACATCAGAATTGATTCGACAAAGACATTTATTAAAATCTACATAGTAAAGTACCTAAGAATTACTACACAAAGCAGGTCAGGTTGGCAACAGGTGTTTCTCAACAATGTAAACCAGGACGGTTTCATTTCGTGAAAGGGTTACAACAAATACTAGAGTTACTGGATTTGAGACCCAGTCTCTAATTCTATGGTTTCCCATAAGCATAAAGTCAAAAACTTCCGAATTACAACTTGATTAAGTAATGGGGATGCTATTTTTGAAGGAGTAATAAATGTTATATGCATATTTACTTTTTGTAAGTTTTTTGTTTTCACCAAAAGAAAGAAAAGGAAGACATTTTCTTTTCCCATTATTGGAGTTTCTTGCCACTTTCATTTTTTACGGCAGAATCAACAGGAGTTTTTTTGGCACTTTCTTTTTCAAAGCCAGAGTCAATCATCTCTCCTCAGTTACGTAGTGTAATAATATACCCAATTTTTTGACTACAAATCCATACAAGCTCTCCAAGCAACAAGGCCATTCAAAAACGGACAGAATCATTACCGCGTGGACTCGGAGACATTTTCAAAACCATCTTCCATCCTCTCTCTTTCTGTAGCTTCCAACATGTCTCCTCTCTATAAATATCTCTTTGCTGATCATATCCGTTACAAATCAAAACTTCTCTCAAAATCATACTCTCTAGAACTTAACTGTTCTCATCTCTAGCTCTTTCTTAGACAAAGTGTAACTGATTGATTATCTGTCTTACATGCCAAGAAAAGGTATGAGGACTATATTGTTCAAATCATCACCTTCAAGACCACCTACTCCATCACCACCTCATCGCCATATGTTCTCCGATACATTAATGGACGACAATATCGAGACTGCACAGGTACTGATTTCTAAATGGGATGTCTCCGATTCCTCCAGTCTCTACTGTAACATAACCAATCTATTCGCAGCAGATAACCGCTACGAAGCCAAACAGTATCTTAACTCCATCAAAGACCTCCAGACTGCCATGCAATATTACATCTCCCAGGACCCCACCTCAGACAAGCTTGTTTTCGCCCAAAATCTTATGCAAATTGCCATGAAGAGACTCGAGAAGGAGTTTTACTTAATTTTGAAGGCCAACAGACAGCATCTTGACTCTGAATCTGTGTCCAGAGCGTCAAGATCAAGCATTTCTGAATTTGAGGTTGAGTCTGAGGAGGAGGAAGATTCTATTTCTGAAGTAGAGCGGGTTTCCATGGCTGCCGTGGCAGATTTGAAGGCGATCGCTGAATGCATGATTGCTGCTGGTTATGGAAAAGAATGCGTCAAGATATACAAGATCATTCGAAAATCGATTGTTGATGAGGCCCTGTATCATCTGGATGTTGAAAGCAGGTTGAGTTTGGCACAGATTCAAAAGATGGACTGGGAAGTTCTGGAAGTTAAAATCAAGACCTGGTTAAACGCAGTCAAAGTTGCAGTTAAAACTCTGTTTTATGGTGAGAGAGTTCTCTGTGACCAGGTGTTTTCTTCTTCTCCTACAATGAAAGAGTCCTGCTTTGCCGATATAACAAGAGAAGGTGCCTTGTCTCTCTTTGTATTCCCTGAAAACGTAGCCAAGTACAAGAAAGCTCCTGAGAGAATGTTCCGCACGCTAGACCTGTACGAAGCAATAGCTGATCTCTGGCCTGAAATCGAATCCATCTTTGATCTAGAATCAACCTCAACCGTCCGACAACAGGCCATTAGCTCACTAATCAAGCTCGGGGAGGCAGTCCGTGCAATTCTAACAGAATTCGAGTCTGCAATCTCAAAATTCAACTCAAAAGCAGCAGTCCCAGGTGGTGGCATTCATCCTCTGACACGTTACGTAATGAACTACATCACTTTCCTCACCGACTACAGCAGCGTACTTGCTGACATCCTTGCTGATTGGCCTCTACCAGTGCCGTCTCCATTACCAGAAGCTTACTTCGGTAGCCCCGTGTCCGATGACGCCATAAGTAACTCAGCGATATCGATAAGATTAGCATGGCTGATCCTTGTTATGCTATGCAAACTCGACGGCAGAGCTGAGATGTACAAAGATGTGGCTCTCTCGTATCTTTTCCTCGCAAACAATCTTCAATATGTGGTAAATAAAGTCCAGAGATCCAACCTAAAGTTACTCCTTGGTGATGAATGGATAGAGAAGCATGAGTCAAAGGTACGACAATATGCGTCGAATTATGAACGCATTGGGTGGAGCAAAGTGTTTGCTGCCCTACCGGATGCTAAGGATAACCAGATGACAACCCCACAAGTCACTGAGTGTTTCAAGAGATTTAATTCTTCTTTTGAAGAAGCTTATAACAGGCAAGCTTCATGGGTCGTTTCGGATTCCAAATTGAGAGACCAGATTAAAGTTTCGGTTGCCAAGAAGCTAGTCCCGGTATACCGGGAATTTTATGACAAGTATCGTTTCGTGGTGGTGATTAAGGAAGGAGTTGTCAGATTTGCCCCGGAGGATTTGGGGAATTACTTGTCGGATTTGCTTTTCGGGACAGGAGGTTCAGGGAGTAATCTGTCATCGTTATCTTCTGTCTCGTCATTTTCCTCGTCTTCGGGTCACTCTCGAGGCGGCCCAAGTCGTTGAGCAGCCGCCCAATCCTAATATTCAAAGCCGTCCTCCAGGCCCAAGGGAACTTTTGAGCTCGTGTTTCTTGTGAATAAAAAAATTAAAGATGCCTGTAGGTATAGCATTTTGACACGTGCATACGCACGCAATTGACTTTTTATCAGATTGTAAAGACAGGGAGAGACATGCACTTTTTGTCAAAAACTATTCTTTCATTATTTTTTAATTTAATAAAATACTAGTATATTTTATGTTATTTGGAGATGCTTTGAAAGCTTCCAAATGTCGCCTCTTTGGAATTGAAGGAGGAATTAGTAAACAGGTCAACAGAATAAAGTGGCGATATCAAATACAAATTAAACTTATAACAAGATCATATATATATATATATATGAGAGAGAGAGAGAGAGGTCAAAAAAGTTGTCACTTGTTTAGTTGTTTATCTGTCTTTCATACAGACTATTAAAACAAAAGGTAAGTACAACGATATTTTGATACATGCATAATAATTGATTGAGAAGTTACTCAAATACCACAACTATTCAGATATTAGAAATAACAAGTTCAAAATGAATATTATAGAGATGAATTTGAATGGGATTTTAATGATCAAATAATGTGTTTGGAAAAAAAAAAAAAACCTATCTTTTCTTAGAAGGGATAATATGTAATAATTAAGGTTTGAGATTTTCACTCCAACTTTAAACAAATATATATATGTTGTTAGAATTTTTTGGTATTGGGCTCCATATTCAATTTTTGTTGGGCTTTTTTGTTTGTAAGTGTCGATCTTTCATTTTTTTTTTTTTTTTTTAATGTTAATAGTGGATCAATCCACACCCAAATGATGAGCCATCTTTTTCATGTTACGTCACTTGTATTTTGCTTTAATTTCTTTTTTACTTTGCATATGGAATTTTTTTTCACTTCAACAAGTTTAGACTTTGGAAAGGTGAACATTTAGAAATTTATGAAGGATTATCCAATTAAATAAAACACTGCTCTCTAAACTTTTTATTGGAGCAAACAGAAACCGATCATTTATTTACCTTATCATAAGCACAGGGAAAAATGTTAGATCTTAGATGCTATCAGTTAAGCAGTGCATCTGTTTGGGTAAAAGATCACCTGGACTAGTGCAACATTGGACCAAGCATCCCATTCGACAAAGGAAGGACAGCCCAACACCGATTAGGACCAAGACTAAAGCTTGGTTCATCGAAACAGAAAATAAACGAATCCCGGGCATCATAAAAAGCCCAAACATGAGCTCTACGTGTCCACAAACATATGAAACGAAAAACGCTGAACTTTTTAAAAAATGTAATTCTAAAAGAGTAATACTAAATATTAAGAAACTATGACAAGAAAAACTTTAATGATATATATGGGTCGTTAGATCGTGATTTTAAAGGAAACCCAATTGTAGGTTCCACTAATTGAATCGTGTAGGTGTATTTTTTGAAAATTTTTCTTGCCATATTTTCTTTGTTTTTAGCCAATACTCATTCCAAAAACATAAGGATAATACTATCATTAATGCATTGAACCTGAAAAACTAATAAAGACACTTGAATTCTTGATCATAAACTTCTAGGAAATTTCGCTTATGGATTTTTCTGTATACTCAAAATTATTTCCAACACATGCAAATCTTGAAACTCTTTATTTTTTGGAATATGTTTGTAAAATTTCTTGTTCTTGACTGCCTCCGAGTGATTTATCTCCAAAACTATTTTTCTTCATAATCTCGATTCAGCTACTGCACATTTTTCATTCTTTGGCTATTCTCATTTGATGCTGCTGCTTTCCATTTCGTTAATTTTCGTAGCATTCTACTTGCTAGCTGTTTAAGCTTCTCGCCATTTCCAACATATATCATTACTGTTTGCGTTCTGTTTTCTTGCTCCTAGCTGTTGCCATTAGGTGTCCCATTCCAAATAGGCATAGATCAAGATTAAGAAAGCGAAAGGATCAGTGAGCTAGCTCCCAAATCAATCGTTTTACTTGGTACTAGCTTTCCTTTCTTGTGGTTGATTTTTTTGTTTCTTTCTCAGCATAGGGACTTTTCCAGCTAATCTTTAAATTATTTCGTCAAATTTCAACACTGCTATTAATTTGTCACTAGCACCTTTTTGTTATTACTCAAATTTATGCGCTTTATCATTGAAATTGAGCAGCTCCGATACCACAATGTATGCGTAAGAATAGAGCATCCATTCATGATGTCTAGAATAAAATGTGCAAATAAGCTTTGCTATACCAGCAATTAAGTGATGAGTCTAGATAACACTTGTTATTTGAGTATCCCAAATAGACCATGCCCGGGGTAGGATTTTTGGTCAAAACTAACAACCGATTAAAAACCGACTAGTGCCACAACAATATCCCACTCTTTCTATCCTAGACGTTGGTATTAGATGCTCTTCACTCACTATTACGACAAAAAAAAAATGCAATTAATGAAGAAATCATTACAAAACTACCTCTGTCCAATCCATACTATCCACGATCTTATTGGCTCCGTCAGAAAAGACATCACATCAAAGGCATAGGTCTCCAAGACAAAGGGTACCTATGAAAACTCTTTCCAGCATTATATCTCACCATAAGCCACTCCTCCCTCCAATCGACCACTAAGTCAAAAGCTCCTATGAACACTCCTTTAATGGACTTGACTCCCTAGTTAAAAAGATATGTACGCAGGCCCTTTTTTTCTCTTTCTCCAACCCTTGGCCAAGCACTGAGAATATGTGAAAAGCCTGAGGGTAAGAGTAACCTAAAATTGTCTATAGGAGTTCTTAACAACAACAAAAAATGGTGTATCTATTCAGATAAATTTAGCTTACGTACAAACTAAAGCACTAGAAAACCTCTGTCATAAATTTAGACAGAAAAAAAGCTATACTTGTAATCCAGCATGCATGTGGGAACAAACATATTTAGGTTCCTCTCTCCAATTCCATTAGGTGCTCTGCTCATCCTATCGTCTTGATGGGCAAAAATTGGGAAATAATTCCTTCTTAAATTACGACCAAAAGCAGCGAGCCTCTCTCCACACACTCTGCTAGGCATCCTCTCACCAAGAAAAGGCACAGCCCCGTGGAACCAGACTCTCCTCTAGAACTCCTAATGAGAACAACCGCAAAAGCACCGCTAACCCTCTCTAAATCTTTCATAATCACTCAAACAAAGAAGTGAAGAAAAAGAAAAAAGGTTACCCATCGAAAGCTTCGATGATTTACTAGAAAATGAGATCTCTTTTGTAAGGCTGTCGATACATTGAGATGAAAAACCTTCATACTAGACTATGAAAGAGGTACTGCAAATAAGGACCCCTCCAAAAGCTCAAGTCACACTCAACAAATCGCAAAAGGTCTCATACATAAAAAATTAGACATCAGTGAAAACGAAAAATGAAAAACCCACATGTTATATATATATATATATATATATATATAAGCAAAGAAGCACCTCTTTCATATCTTTTGAAATTAAGGAAGCATTTGTATTTCTTAAAATATTTTACATGGAATAAATTTTACGATGTAAATTGTTTTTTCATAAAATATTTTATATAGAATAAATTTTAGAATGTGTGATAAATAATAATATAAAAAATATGATGATAGTGTGATGATTATGGTAATGAAGTGGTGGTTGTTATGGTAATAATGGTAAAAGGAGTGAAGGTGACGATGATATGGCAATTACCGTAAATAGGTGGTGATGATGGCAAAAGTGATGGTGATTGTGGAGCAAGATGGTAAAAAAGGAGGAGGTGGTGCTAACGACAGCAACAATGGCAATAGGGTATTTGTGGTTGAGGTAGTGGTAATGACAACTGTTAAGGTAGTAGTTGTGGAGGAGATGTGATAGTTGAAATAGTCGGATGATATTGTAAGATTATCACTCTTCATAAAATATTTTACAGAAGTTTATGAGTGAAAAATATTTTTCACTCATAAAATAAGTTTATAGGTTAATTGTAAAAATTTTAACATCGAATAATTTTCTTTTAAAATATTTATGAAAAAAAAATGCTCACTAAATTTAAAATTCGTAGCTTATAAAGGAAAGCAATGCTAGAAGTTAGTTTAATTATTATAATTATTCATTAAATATGACGGGATCTATATACCACGATTTAAAAAAAATTCCTGCATTATAAATGCCATATTATTTAGTTAGAAAATCTTAATTAAAAAAAATAGTTATGTCTAGCATTACTTTATCAAGATTGGAACATAGAGTCTATATTGATGTCAAGAATAATGAAACTAATTTTATTATTTCAAAATATTGACTCCCATTGTCAACAAAACCATAGAACTATATATATCACAATTTTAAGCAACAATACTGATAGACATAATAAGAGTTTAAAAATATATCTGAATTTTTTTTCATAAAAAAGTTTTAAAATATAAATATTGTTAGTAATTAAATATTAAATTGATAATAAAAAATTTATTTGGAATTAATTATCTGAATAAAATGTACTAAATATATTAATTTTTTATTAATGAAAAAGTATTACAGCGCATTAATCAATAAAAAAGTATTACAGTGCATTAAGATGATATTACTTTTGAAAAATTAACTATGATTAGTAACATAACTATAAAATCACATTTAAAAGCCATAATATTCAATGGTATATAGTGAAAAGTAATTTTTTTAATAAAAAATAAATATAATTTAAGAAGTAGATAGCAAAAGTAAATGATATAAAAGTCATTAATTAAATTAAAAAACTAAAAAAATATATAATTAAATCATTGCTTGCTAAGTAATTTTTATATATTAATCCTTAACTCATCTAAATAGGAAAACGAAACGAATCACGTACCATAAAAATTGATATTTATAAATAATAGGTCATAATTTTAATGGATTGTGTATTAGTCATAACTCCGATCTAAAAAAATACCAAAATTAGAAAGATTTGTTCTTCAAAGAAGCAAAGAATTTGTCAATTAATATGAAAACTAGATAAAAGTAGAGAACTAGTATAA